CATGATTACAAACGAATTGAAGCCATTATTACGAAAGAAAAAACGCGGAATTAAGTTAATAGAGAAAATATTACCAACTGGTGATTTATTATTGTACAAATCATAATTTACAGATAAAATACATAATATATTGTACTGTTATATATATTTTTTCTTATTGACAAAATACTTAATATTATATTATACAATTTCCTTTATATTAATAAATTTTAGTTTAATATAAAATACATCACAATTGGCCTGAGCTACTTTTCAATTAGGGGAGATTAAAAAATAACATTGTCAATTCATAATCAACAAATTACAAAATGACACATAATATATATTTATATTTACTATATACATATTTCTAATGCTAAAATATAGTATTTAACACTTTGATACTTTTATACAATGATAAAAATAAATTTTACAAATCTATTACATCAAGTACAATCTAGTATATTCAAAATATTAAAAGAACTACTCTCTTTACATAATGCATATATTAATACATTGATATATAAAAACAATATAATCAAAGAAATTGATTAAATATTATTAAATAGATATATACAAATTCTACTACATTTTTACTTATAGTTAATGAAAAATATATAAATAAAAAAAATTCATTAAGGTTTGGCTATTTCTAATTTAATACTAAATATATTAAAATACAAATTTATAATTAATTTTAATTTTTTTTTGCTTTTATAATATGTATTAAAATTATTTAATTAAGTTTGCAATACTAATATGTTATATAAATTCTATATGTTATAAAGGATTCTGGGGTTTTTGACCCTAGAAATTATGTTTAAATTTTTTTTATTTTTTTATTTTTTTTTTGGTATTAAGACCTTACTTATATCTTTATTGGTTAATTTATATAAGTAATTATATAAACTATATAAAAAACTTAATTTGTACAAGGATAAATAAATATAAATTATATGCAAGAATAAGATCTCAGACTAAAAGCTTGAACTAAAAGCTTAGGCTAAAAGCTTAGGTTAATTATTTGTAACCTAAACCTACTAGAGTAGTCGAGACTCATCTAGATTTGAATTGTTAAAATATAATTAGTAAGTATATTGTATTTTATAGTGGCATGTTCTAGAAGAGGACAAGTGTAAATTCAAAATATAATTGGTTGGCAAAACTGCAGGGGCAGTTATAAGTATAGTTAATTTTATTTCTTTTGTGAAGGAGGGTAAGGAGAATTGAGATATTGATTCAAATAGGTCTAAGGATTTGATTAATATTTAAATTTATTTATTATTATTATTATTATTATTAATTTTAACTAAAAAAATAGTATAGGAGATCATTACCTTATTTCTAAAGATGTGTACTTTGTTGTCTTGACTTTTTTGAACTTCTTACCCTATCCTTTTTGAATCTATCATACTGCCCTTATTGAACTTGAACTGTAATTTTTTTGGACTTTTTAACCTAGCTTAGATCAAAGTTCTTTATTTAAAAAAAGATAGATAAAATATTAGTAGGTGTTGCAGTAACAAAAAATATATAAATAGGAAGTCTTTTTATCACTTGAGGAGGACAATTCAATAGAGTTCTAAACTTCAAAAAGATAATAGTAGAAATTGTTCTCTAAATAAACTTCACTTTAACATAAAATTGGTCATAATAAAACCACTTGTTGTATATTCTTGCACGTGATCTTAATCGTATTGTTAAGCTTTCGTAAGAGAAAAAGAATACTGATTAGAAATCCAATCCTTTTATACACAAAATAAATTAAATTCTAAAATCGATTTCGTCATTATTACAGTTGTTCTCTTATTACGTCGATCAATCGAAAATACCGAAATTTCAACTTCGTAATCACGTGACCACGCGACAATCATTAAGAATCTTAACGATTGTATTCGAATACTGAAGCCCCGTTATACTAAAGTCTAGAAGAAGAGCATTCTTTAACAATCCAACAAATCATATAATACAATAAGTGTAAATATAATCACCGGTTATACTTATCTGGGTCTTTCAATACGCCGCAACAAGACTAACAAGCCTTAAGTCTCGGACCAAGTCTTTTCCACACCTCTTTCCGCCTTCCACCTCAAGGTTTTAGGAGTCTTGAGCCGTTTGTTGGGTTATTTTAGTATGGTGTTTTAGTTAATTAGTTGGTTTATCATTTGAAACCCTAAGTCACGCTTTCTCAATGTCCAACTTTCTCCAAATAAAATTTTATATGTCTAGAAATTTACTCCATTGAAACACTGATTATAAATATATAAATAAAATATTTCTTGATCATTTCTAACAAAATAAAATTAATTATATTTAATAAATATATATATATTGTTTTAATAAAGTGAATTTAAACCCTGAATCAAGTCAATTTTTGGATCTTGAACATATGTTTTGCAAAGCTATTTAAGTCAAATGTGCACCAAAGAATAAGGTACGTATACTCATCTTCGTAAGCTTATTTTTTTCCGTGGATAATATATCTCATCTATTTTTTTATCAATAGCCAATCAATTACTATAATTCAAAGTTTTTTTTATATACAAATTAATTAATTAATTCATGGAAATAGGAATTATCGTATGTATATTTAATATTTATGAATGGACTTTCGCATTTTTTTTTTTAAACCCCAAATAATAATTAACTGAGGACGTCATGTGACGTGGTTTATTATATTACTAATTGTTATTTACGCATTGATTATTTACATTACAATATTGTAATCATTTACATTACAATATTGTAATCATTTACATTGAGTACATCTTAGAACAGTTTTTTTAACCCTTTTTTTAGGTGTCTTGTATTTTAATGTTATTTGAATATAACAGATTTTGCAAGTGCACCATTTCCAATTTCTATCCGTTAACCAAACCATATTTCATATATTACATTGATGTGGAGCCAGACTGCTATAGTATGGGTTACAAATTTTTAACATTGGATGTCGCAATTATTTCTTCAATTGTGGTTGGGGCGTTGAATTTCGTGTAACCTCAAGCAAAATTGTAGGCTTACTCGGCTGTTCCGACATCAATTGCGAAATGTTCAATCGTTTGAATCTCATTCGTACACCATGGACAGTCAGTGTTTCCAGCTGAGATTATGTACAGTATTTTAATCCTGAACCAATGGTAAGGCTTGACTTCGAATTTACAAAATTCCAACCTACAAAAAATAAATTTTAATTATGAACATGATCAAGTTAAATAAGATATGCGGTTACGAATAATGAGGCAATATAAATAATTACAAAAATGGAGTAATAAAAGAAATTTAATTATACTAACTAAGTAATAGCATGATTACAAACGAATTGAAGCCATTATTACGAAAGAAAAAACGCGGAATTAAGTTAATAGAGAAAATATTACCAATTATGAAATAATAAATTTTCGTAATATCGGATATGCCCGTTGATCATTTGATCATTTGCGGTAACGAATAAAATTTTTTTAATTGAAATAATCATTACGACCAACAATCTTTAATAAAAAAGACCGAATTCAAAGAACGATCGAATTATCGTAACACATGATAAAGAATAACATATCCATAAACTTTTAAGATCTACAATATACGTAGTACGTCTGATAACTTTCTTTGTAAACAATTTTTATGCCTTAACTTTAAAAACACGGATTTTTTTATTTTGTAACACTGTCTTATCTGTCTTATGCATGTTATGTAATTTAATAAACAAAAGTCATTACACAATAAACAACTAAAAAAATCTATATTGTGAATAGTTTGGTAGTTGTAAATTAAATCGGTATAATTGAAAGTTTTAATGTTGTCTTAAAAGTCAGTATTTGATTAGAATGTATTATCTTATACATTATCTTATACTGTATAATTCTGTATAATTTGTATTGGCTTTTATAATTATTATAAATATTATAATTATTATTATTATTATTATTATTATTATTATTATTATTATTATTATTATTATTATTATTATTATTATTTAATTTTTAGAAAAGTATTTTTGTACTATAATAATAGGTTGGACAAGATATCCGGACTTAAGTGTAGGATTATTCAAAGATGATAACATTACCATTATCTATTATTTTATGAATACAATCAAATGATGAATAAAGCAACAATCCGATATAATAAAACCAATAAACTTTTCCCCGTTCTCATTACTGTACCCAAATTATTTTTACTATCATTCAGTAAATGAATAAACTATAGTATATTAAATGTTTCACAAGTGACTGTAAACATTCCCCTGCCATAATTATGGGTAACATTATAAAGATACCGGATAATCTTTTACCAAAATAAATATGAGTTGTCTAATAAATAACATATACTAAAGATAGTACATTTCGCTAATACTAATAATGCTGTAATTATACAATATTGGTCAATTTTTACGATTATCACATGGAATATGGGAATATGTAGAATCTAATTTTATTGGCTAATTTTGGCGATTATCAGAGTAGAGCTTCTACGTATTTTTCGGATATTTGCGAATTTTAGATTTCCGCTTGTAAATTATCCGGCTAAATCCGTGATTCCAGATGTAATGAACTTTATAAAAAAACCTAACCGCAATCAGAATATGTATTTCATTACCATTATCAATGCATATACACAGTAATATAATTTTGAAAAATAATGCCAATAAATAGTAAAAATATTATTATTCGAGCAACTCAGAGAAATTTCGCTTGAGGTTTCGCTAGATAAATAATCTTCACTATCCATTATTACGATTATGAATAAGTTGTGTAAAGAAAAAATTTCGCTCTCAAGATAAATACGTATTTATAAGAAAGAATTCTCTATTCAATGTTGCGTATAAAAATATGTCATTTATTCATACCAAAATATTAATGCATCATCATTATTAATCGAAGTATCAGATAGTTTAATAGATATTCAAAAAAATTTAGATTTATTCATGCCAATATTAATGCATCATTATTAGTATCGGATAGTTTAATAGATATCCGACTATCTACAAATATATTTTTGTTATCCAATATGAACGGATCCAAGCACCACATCAAAGAATATCAAAGAATTCTAAATAACGAAATTACGTCATTTTGATGATCCTTATATTACTATATAGGACATTTATTTGGAAGTAAAAAAAAAAAATCAGCATCACTGAAATAAAAAGATAAAATTTTAACATTATTATTTATCAGATTCAGCTCGTGACAAGTTCGTGATCAGTACATTATTTATTTAATACTTATATGATTGATTTACTTTAGAGTTTGAAAGGTCAACGGGTTAGGTAGCATGAGCACGAGTCAAAGTAATTTTATTGTACAATGACAATAATAATTTAATTGTAATACGCAAATATGACTTTTTAAAACTATGATAACTCATCCGGATAGTCCACATGCTTATCAGTTATTCAAATCTGCTAACAAGTTGTTTATTTACTATCGTATCCATTTCGATCAAGATAAGGCTAGACAAACATGATTTTCTGCTTAACATAAATGAGATGTCTTGTAAGAGGGGCGGAGTTAGTGATGGGCAAAATACACACTTTTCGGAAACATGCGCACTCCATAAATACGCATTGGCCATCTCTAGGTAGGGTATTAAAACATAAATAATAATATTAGGAAATATTAATGCTGCAATTTTATTTGTTAATTTAAGGTTTAATGACCTGTATAAATTTTTTAAAAAATAGAGGGTTATTTACGGTAATATTATGTGTAATGATACCTATAATTTTGAAAAAATGAAGGATTATGTGATTTTTTTTGGTTTGTTGGCTCTCATTAATACTAAATGAGTTCCAAGAATGATAGAAGAGATCTCTTGGTTGTTTAATATAGCAGTAATGGTCTTTTTATTCAGCCCGGTAAAGCTTAAATTATTTTGGAAAATTCGTTCTTGAAAAGCGAAAAAAAGTCAGTATCTAAATTGGTGACATACCTTGGTTATTTATTTAATCAATAATTGTTGTTAGAGGTTTATAATTTTGACATATTTGTTATGTTACCATTTTTCAAAAAAAATTCAAAAACTCTAAAATTTTGAAGGCTTTTAGATCGAAAATCATGTGACTGCACCCTCGATTGTAATTTATCCGTGACAAGGTCAATATGTAGAATATATTAATAATATAAATGTATTGTAACATATTGATAAATAAATTTTTTATTCAATGAAATTTTTTTTCTTCCGCAGATTTTATTAACTTTGCTGAAATTTGCAAAATTAAGTAGTTGTCTTGTTGCTAATATATAATAAATGTACATAATAATAAAATAATTATATAATAAATGTACATAATAATAAAATAATTATATAGTAAATTTAAAACTAAAAAAAATTAACAGTAGTAGGCGTATTGTTAACATATAGTTAAATGTAAATACCACCAAGTAAATTGCAAATAGTATTTTAGTTGCTAATTTGCAAGTTTCAGTAAAGATGTCATACATGTTACGCATCTTTTTTTTTTGAATTTTATTTTGATTCACAGTAATGAAATTCTAATTTTTAGACTGTTTATGGATAATTCTGATATTTAAATTTTCACAAATAGTGGAAGTTGAATTTCTGATTTTGAGAGGTGCATTCATATCTTCAAGTTCAATGTCAACCTTTCTATAAAGTAAAGCCAATAATAATTTCATTTGAAGCATTGCAATATTTTGGCCTACACATACTCTTAAACCTCCACCAAACATTGAAAATGAGAATTTATGATGATTTTTAATTTCTTGAGATTCATAAAATCTTTCAGGAATAAACTTTTCAGGATCTTTCCAATAAAGAGAGTTATTATTAATACCTCGAACATACATTATGAATAAAGTGTCGGTAGTTGATGGCCAAGAATATCCTGCTATTTCATCAGCATGATTAGTATATCTTGATACAAGAGGGACCGCAGGCCTTATTCTTGACGTTTCTTTAATAATAGCTTCACAATATCTTAATTTTGCAAATTTCAGCAAAGTTAATAAAATCTGCGG